GATTGCTCCAGAATCACCTCCTCGCCACCCGGATGTTGATCAATGAATTTCGTCACATCGTACACCTGAAAATTCAGTTTTCATATCAAAATTACAAGCTAAACTACTCTATTTTCGTGCATAATCTGAACTAAAACAATGACCTGAATCAAACCAATAAATTTGTGACTTAATCGATAAGTAACGATCAAAACAACGTCAAAACAATGATAAAAATGACTCCAACAACCTTATCATCGATAACAATCCATGATGATTGCACACTATTATGCACAGCAATCTCATCTAACGTGAACGTTTTGGATTTCGAGTCAACCATCCTTTAAGACCACATAATTCAATCGACAAATCACAATATCACGAGCAAAAAATTATGCGAGCATGACAAACACGAGAGTGTAATTATGGGCACAAATATGAACAACAACAGTGAATTAAACAGCGAGTTTTTGATTTACATTACACTTTTTCACATTTACATTTTACATTACTCTTTTAATAGTAATTTCACATTACATCAATTCCACGCCTTTTTAATTTCGAAAGCGGTTACGACTGAAATGTCATTTTGATTTTAGTAGCAAAATGATAATACTACCCTCAAAGTTAGAGTAATTCAATGGATTGAAGCAAATGAAGTGAAATGGAGAATAAAATTAATTGAACAAGTGGGCCGAACTTCATACGGCGTAGCAAGTGAGACAATGGGCGTGAATCAAAGCAGCCACAAGACAGAGAGAAAGCGGTGCACATCAACCGCTATACAGAAGAGATATAACTTTGTTTTGGAATAAAAAAGTGGAATGCGAGGAGTTACGAACAATAGAATCGATACAATTTTTATAAACAATTGTTCGCCGAGGCATTTGCGATTAATGCTTGTTAATGATTTCGATAAGGACATCAGGAAAACACTGAAAGGATACCTGAAATTGTTGTGAATATCCAATCAACGAATAAAATAAATCACAGAGCCGTTTGAATATTCAAAAAGGATTTACACCCTGAATTTCAGTTTCCAGGAAGCTTATCGTTAAAAGAGTGTGATTTACAATTATGATATGTTGATAGCATCGAGATGATTGCTGCAATTAGTTCATCTGCACACGTTTAGTGTCTTGTTGTGTTCAAACGATATGGCTTCAGTTCAAAAATATGTTCGAAGTATCAAACATCTGCATTTTTGATGTATTTCATCATTTGCTCCTCGCGTTGTCTTTTGAAATCCACATCATTTTTTTTGTTATTGGATAGGAAACGTTTTATTAAAGAAATTTCGCAAAAAAAGGTCAGTTGGATGGATTCATAAAAGGAAACGCATTCAACTCAACGAAAATCTTGAACGATAACACACAAAAATGACACTTTACTTGTATCATCGTGCAAAAACGCATTGAAGCATTTTTATCGCATCAGAAAACCGTTGACAGTAGTTCTTCAGCGAACCGTGCGCTGATTGGCTGAAAGGCTACCGTAACACCACGCCTACGGTGTTTATCCTCCACTACAGTACTAGCCCTCGGCAGTGATTGGCTAATAGCAGGGTTGGAGCGAGAATGCATCACCAATCGTTTATTCGCTCGAATCGCCAAAAATTTTTTAAAGATAACGGATTTTCGGTATCTTTAAACCAATGGAATCCTTTTTTCGCTAGTGAATTTCAACAAATCATGCAAGATTCTTTAGTAACGTCGAGTTTTCTCGTATTAAACTGATAAATCGTGCATTGGATCGAATGAAAATTATATTTACACCAAATTAAAGCAAAACAAAATCTGACAATGAACACAATCGATGACAATTGTTATTAATATATGCACAAACCACACAAACATTATTATTATTATTATTATTAAACAACAAAATCGAATCAATACAAAGGCAGCAGTTTCCTTCGTGAAAGTCTGACATGATAAACGGCACCGATGGCTGCAATTACGGAAACGACCGAAACGCCGGATAAGGCCCATACTCCAGCCAACGGTACACATACCGGCTGTCGATGGGTTCCGATCGGAGATGTACTCGGAGGTGTGGAGATATCGGGGAAATCTGAAAGGAATGCATGGATATTTGACAATATCAAAGGCAAAACCAATTTACTATATAACAGTTTAAATGTCAGGAAATCTTTGACTGCATAAAGTATGTGGTTAAAGTGTTCGGTGAAATGAGACTGAATAGATGAAGGGATGAATAAATTACAAATAAACCGAATTAACATGAATGAAATGCTATCTTTAGATGTTGCGACCGTTGGATACAGAGTATTGGTGTTTAATTTGTCAGAGAGTATTATAATATTAAGTGCCGATAGTATTACCGAAATTATTATTGATACTATGTAATATTATACTCTGCGACAAATCACCATATCATCAATTCATATCTACACATGCAACAGCTGAAGGTAACTTTTCAATCGTATTGACTCATTTGCACATCTTCGAATGTTTATGCTGACATACCGAGTTGTTCATCGACGATATTGAGTTGAGGTGTAGATACATCAACGTCAACTATGTTGATACCATCATCCTCTGCTCTTGGATTACGCCTCTTCCGTTCGGATTGCGTTTGCACGAGCTTTGAAGCGAGTGGCAACTCAGGCGGCGATTCCAACTCACCCGAACCTGAATCTTATTTCTGGCTTAGCTTCACGGTAAAGTCATAAAATGAAAGTCACGGAATATTAGATTGCAGAATGGAAATTTTTTTCCACTGTTCGAGGAAATGACAAAAAATTTGATAAATACCTTCCAAATCATCATTTGAGTGTGTTCGATCGGAACTATTGCCATTTGGAGTGGTATTATTGTGATTGAGACGGGCAACGTAATGGAGTATATTGCCTGGAGTTGGGAAATCTTTCGAAATGCGGGAGGGTTGATGAGTAGCGGTATCACTCGATGAACTAGCTGTTGACGAGGAAGAGCGTCTGGTTGAGATACTGCTTTTATTGCTCCTATCACTACCATTATCATTGTTATCACTGGTCGATACGAACTTGACGGGTTTTGACGAGGCTGACCGAATCGTGG